GAATGAGTATGTAGCCCCAAATTTATTTCAAATTTCACTGAACAGTTTCACTGACCTCTACAGCGCGTCCCGCGCTTTACGAGTACCTATTAGCCGGGTGGTCCTCTCCCTTCTCCTTGTATCGCGATGGCATCTGGTGCGTTCCCGGCGCTAACGATGGAGGTCTCCGGTGGGCAGGGTGACATGCAAAGCCGGTGGGCTTTTGGCCGCCTCGAGCCCTCGGAGCTGGGCGCGTTCATTTCGGACGGCTGGCGCATAATCCCCATTCTGTTCGTTTCCTCCTGCCCATAATTAGCACGGATAACGAGGAAGGTGGAGTATCTCATTAGTTGAGTCCCTGCACTGGAGATGGTAGGGGGTGCTTCTGTTTAGGGGTGTGTGGTGTGGTGTCTTTTGCGTGACAAGTGCACGTGACGAGGTCACCGAATTTGGCAGACGTTCTCAAGGATAGGTGGATTTACGTAATGACCTCTCAGAGGGGCGATAATGCGGGCAGAGGTGTTACGTATTTGAGTTAAGCCGAAGGCAGTGGTTTTGAAACGGAAGGAAAAGCCTCAATGAGTCGTGTTACGCTCATTGAATGTAATTGGCTTCAATTAAGTGCTCGATAAAATTATCACTTCAGTACACGCCAGGGGTATTTGGATTCAACAAGGTCAATTTTTATTGTCTTAATATTTCGTTAATTGTTTTGTAGTGCCAACCCTTTTATTTATTATGAAATAAAACTTTAAAAACTACATTTTATTTCATTTACATCTTTATAATAATATGCAAATTACAGCTCTATAAAGCTGCTTCAGGGATCTGCATATCCACGGGCATCTGTATAGCTTGTGCGATTTGATTGTTGTGACACGGCGGTGATGCTGAGATGTGTTACTAAGAACAAACATTACGTTCTTAAAATACCACGCAATTGTTACTAATTTTAAAAAGTTCGTGTTGTTGCTCCACTAATTTCGTCCTATTTTGGCTATCAGAGTCTAGAGTTCATAAATAACCCGCGCAAGTAAACTCGACCTAACTGATTGCGAGAGTAAAGGAGTGTTAAATGATTTGATATTTCCCATTTTCTCTTCACTCTACCAGAAAACATAAGCACTCGTATACGATAAGTGTTTGGGACTCTTCTTGTGCCCACTCCTAGTGATGAAAGTAGAATTCAAAATCAGTTGATTTGAGTCCCGACAGTGGCAGAATTTTCGATAGTAGCTATGCTAAATTCAGTTGCTGTCTGCAGAAGAATTCTATCGGCCGGTTGCTCTCATCAGTAGTTTTTAGTGGTTTCTCTGGTTAACGTCAAGTGAATGCCGGAGCAGTACCCTAACAAACGATCTAGTAACCGCGTGGGATCTTTCCTTCCCCTACTTCTTCCTCTCGTTAATCCTCACTTTCCCTTTCTCCTACATGCTAACTACTCGTACATCGGAGATTAGAACTGGTCCCAGCTGTGGCTGTGCCTCACTGATGTGAGATACATGGTTGAAGAAAACCCCTGCCAACCGACGTGCACGTCGGCACTGGATCTCGGTAACCAGCGTACGAAGATCACTGTCCCCTCCCGCGATGAAAGCATGCACTCAACTTACGGTACAATGACCTTCACAGGTGACGCTCAAAAAAAGTCAATCCGTATTAATTGGTAGAGAGTTAATGAGGATTATGCAAATGAAACATGGCTATTACTAAATACTCAATGCTTATAGACAAAATCCGTTTTCTCTGAAGAATCGTTGACCGGAAGATACTCGGTTTCGAATGTCGTGTACGATGAAATGTCTACACTAGCTACATAGCTGGGTCGTACTCAACAGCTGCGTGGAGGAAATATCTAGCAAATGGGTCTTCAGATCGATTTTTCTAATTCTTTCTAATCAATACGAAGCGAATAGCGATGAAATAGCTTAACAAACGTGACATGGACCACGCGAGGTTTTTCCTTTCCCATTCTTGTCCTCGTCCCTTAAAAACACTCTAAACTTATATGCACTATACTATCACACTAGCCGTGGTAGAGTCGAGAACTTAAGAGTTTGTCCTGGCCGAGGTTGTGCTCCACTGGGAAAATACCTAGGCGGGTGAAACACACAAAAAACATGAATATTGTCTCCAAATCTAGCGTTGCGAAAGAGGTCTGGATGACACCACGTCGAGGGCAGTTATGTCGACATTTCGACCCTCATACTGTGGTCTTCTTCAGGGCTGGAGTGCCAACTAACCCTAAAGATGACTACGAGTGCGCTCCTGCCAGTGCAGGAGACGACGAAATGTTGGTCTCAATATCGGCATCACTACCCTCGACACTTCGTCATCTGGACAGCCGAGGCCTTCACATGACTCGCCGCGATTGTAACGAGTTTGTACACTACAACATCTCGGAATATAACATGCGTTACACTCACTAGACAAGTTGGCGCACTTGACAACACGAAATACTTCCTCGCCATCTGGCATAGTTACCGGCGCAGACGTGAGATATCAATATAAACGTATCTGTATTGATCTCTGGAAGAGTTGCAAAATATAAATATTATTGACTAGTAGCACATGAGTATTTTTATAAAACTTTGTGGATATGAAAATGACGTGATCGATCCCGAATAAAAACAGTGATTATAAAAATATTCAGTTTAAAATTTTGTATTTACTGACACGTAAAATTAATCATGTTATATGCCTTGCGTATATAGACGTAAGAGAGTAGTTTAATGGGCAATGCATTTTAGAGGAGAGTTCGATAGGTTTTGCAATGTAAACAAGTTGAAAACATGATTGAAACTTCAGTATCAGTCCTAAAAGTAAAGTAAAAAGAACAAACTTGGTCTTATAATTTCAACTTCGTTATTCTTGTTTTGTAGCGAACACTTCGGAGCATTTGACAGATGTCTCGTCCAAGCCACGCAATGCCACTGATATTCCCCCTTTAGTCGGTGTCGCAATTGGTGTGTAAATCGGAACGCGAGCGTATTTTTCTTGTGTCGAGGCAGTCCGTAATTCATGGACTCGTGAGTCGTGATATAGTAGCACGCCTTAGGAAAACGGGCATTGTCCTACTGTTACCTTTGTCCAGTTACGTGAGTGACAACTCTCCAAGAATATTTCGACATTCCTTCTGGTACAAGTGACAATTTTCAGCTCTAAGTACATAGTCAGGTTCCCTGCTGTCCTTAACTTGAAACGAAAACATTCCTTCCATTGCCTCGTGGTAATTTAAGGTGGGGTTTTCAGAGAGCATGCACCTTGTGTTTCGTCACACCACGGAATAAACTTCAGAACGGTGTAACACTTGGGGAGAGATTTATAGAAAAATGAACTCAAAGCGTTTTTTGTTTTTCTCTTCCTGCGTTTTCACTTTCATAGCTAGTTGCTTTCCACTTGGCCGTAAACAGTCTCGAAATTATCTTCTGCCTCATAGATTTTCTATGCCTTACCCGTACCGATCAAAAAACGGACATGTTCGATTTGGAATGCCGAGAAACGATGTAATGTCGTCAACACTATGCGGACCGAATATGTGGCGTTCAGTAGGTAGAGATGCCGAAATTATTAACATAATAGCAACCCGTACCAATCAACTAGATTCTTGTTTTATTGCATTCAAAGTAATGCGATATGAAATGGGCGAACAAGAAATTCAGGAAGAATATTGGTTTCTGGAGAACAACTTGGTGGATATCTACGGATCAGCGTCGTATTGGCGAAGTGACAAACTATTCTTATCTTCACCCATTCGCTACCTTTATCCTCACGCTCGAGACGATGTGTGTGTGTTGGTGCACAGAGCAACATTCGTTGATCGCAGCGTATTTGATGCTTTCTCTCTCGCTGTGTGGGTTTGCACAGGATGGAGCTTGCTGGCTTTTGCTGCTGCCCTCTGGTTGGAATATTATTAATCTGCCTTAATGATGATAAACGTGCAACAATTTCAAAGTATTTTTCATTCGGAAAATATTCCTGTAGTGCTTAATCTTAAATATCTTGGAATTCGTTCAAATCTAGTCACATTGTAGAATTATACACACTGCAGCTGAGCTCCTTACAAAACAGTTTCGTTGAAGTCATAGATGTTATTTGGTCTTATTTTATCATAATATACGAAAATACCATTCATAATGCCATATTTTTAAAACTTAGACACTAATCCTGAACTCACTCCCAAGAAAAATAGATTGTTCTTATTATGTTAACTGTACGAGACGGATAGCAAACTTAAATTAATTGAACATTGACTTATTACGTTAGTTAAGAGAAATAGTCAAGATATAAAGTTTTATTGAATACAAACTACTGGGAATATTTAGGTAAAATAATACGCAGAAGTGAAAAATATTTTCGCTCATGAAATTTTTCTGTTTGCCCACGTTGATCATGAGTTAATCTTAAAATGCATGGACTTGGCAAACACCACCGATGCATGTGCAGTGCCTTTGAGACCATGCACATCGCAAGAAATGCACATAAAATTGTTTTTATTTCCAATAACTTAATTTCTTGATTTTACTAAAAATCAACTCTTGTTGTCAAACAAATAATTACTTATTTAAATAGAAATTAATAGAGTTCTAAATAATTATTGAGAGGGACTATGAATATGGTCTTCAAAGTCACGCATATTCATCGATTTTGTTGTAATGAAAACAAATTTTAAGATTACGTGTATAAATGAACTAAAATGAGAGTAGAAAAATTGAAGGAAGATTACATGGAGGGCAAGCTCTCAGAAATGCAGCTGGGCAGAGTAAAAAGCGAAATAAAAACGTTAAGGCATCGGAACCCGTGCCTTATATAATTTGAGTTAACAAATTGCTCAAGATAGCACACTGTTTTTCAATGCTTATTGTACAAAATCGTTCATATCAAATATTTATCTTGTCAGGGGCAATGAATTACATGTTATCTGTTGTAGGTTTACCTTTAAGGTTTCCCTGGGTCAAGCATTTCTCGAAACGGAAAATACTTTCCGGACCGGAGTTTTCAAGGACAGACACCGCGTTCTGATGATCTGGGCCAGCGCGTTCAGCCTGCTCATCCTCAGCACCTTCTCGGGAGTCTTCACCAGCTTCACCCTGGTGCCGAAAAGAGGACCTGAGTTAATCACACTCGCCGACTTCAACGCTCGCTACAAACTCGTGTATTCGTTCCCTCGGACAGCGGACATGATCAGGTCCAATTACAATTGGGGCAGCGAAGATTACAAGACTCTGGTGTCCAAACTTGTCAGCATTGACTTGCTGCCACAATTTGGAAAATCCGACCTGTTGAGAAGTCTCGAAACCGGCGAAGCTGTTTTAATAGACGCTGAGACAACGCTGGAACTGTGGTGGCGCCGATTGGATGTAGTGCAAAATGGTGAATTGCTATTCAGAATCATTCCCGATTGCTTGATTGCTCCAGCTTACGTTTCCTTTACTGTTCGCAAAGATATGCCATACGCTGATGAATACAGCTCTATGGTTCAGAGACTTTTTGAAGGAGGAATAGTGGACAAAATTACAAGAGACAGTTGGCACAAAATGGGTACTCGTGGTTACCTGAAAGTAAAAAACATTTTTACTGGGATGATAATAGATGAAGTGAAGATTATGAATTTGATTCATGTCCGGGAATCGTTTTTCCTTCTGGGTTGTGGAATATGTATTTCAATTTTCATAGCAATGGCAGAGATTTTGATAGGGAGAGCAATCTGTGTTAGAAAATAGTAACGTCTAATTATTAGACGTTTTGATAAACATACTGTCATAAAAATAAAATCAAGTCTTACGCCTTTAATCACATCACATGTAATTAAAATTCCTGTTTTACGCACTCATTGTTTCCCAAACATATTAACATTTTCACATCAACATTTTCGGAGTTTCCTCGGTTGTACCACTTCCTGTGCAAGAAAAATGGTGAGGCTACATTGTGTTCAATATTAATACAGGTGGATCCAGTATTATTTCTCCACTCCTTCTCTTCCACTGCACGTCTTTCTGCAGACTACTGCCTGTCTACTTCTATACGATTGACACAACTGGTTGTGTAAATGGTGCACAAGTCAGATGCTAGATAATGCATAAATACTAAAAATCGAAACTGACATACGCAAATTAAGTGAACAATAAATTCTCGTCAATCACTTTCGAATTAACTATCACACACTAGAGATATATGGAATAAAAAATGAAATAAAATCTAACTTTTCTTATATGTTTTTGTTATCTAGATCAGTTATCTGGTGCTTTGTTAATCATATATGCTAGACGGAAATAATTAATTACTAATTGCAAAACTTTTTCAAAATTTGAACACAGAGATGGTATTTGAAAATGTCTAGCAAAATTATACACATGAACTTCATAATATATTTGTCTCTAGTTATTAGTACCGTCTACTGGTGGCTTTTTATTACGGGTAGTTGCGTAAAAATCAAGAAATCATCAAATATAATGGAGAGTGTATTAGAAACAAGGAATCAAGAATAGGCATCACACATGATGATCAAATTTATAGTTTTTAAATACGTATTGAGTAAACAATTTTAAAATTTTGTATCAAGAAAACATCACAAAGTCGGAAAATTTAATAATAACGCTTCCACGCATACATATTTTCCGCATACACAACTCTGACACATTCCACACAAAGCCAGATATTTACAAGGAGACACTTCACCATAGAAAGCATAATACACTATGTGGCACTCAAAATCATCCATTCATACATCGCATAAAAAATTGCACCAACCACAACAATAGACCGGATTATGTGGCTACGGACATCACTGCAGTACCTCTGACCGGAAGGTTGTAGGGTTCCATTTCTGTTCATGGCAGAATTTTTCTCAGTAGATCGATAACTAGTCGAATTCAGCGGCTGTTTGAGAGGGAGGTATTTTCGGGGTCAGCTGCTCCGATCGGTAGTTTTCCGTGGTTTATCCATCAACACCAGGCAAAAGCCGGAGAAGCACCCTAACAAGGAAGCCATTTACCGCGTGCATCCCTTTCTTTCTCTTCCTTGTTCCATCATCTCCCTTCATACACATGTACACTTACATACTCTACACTACTATACAAGTTGTGAAACCAGTTTGGAGCTTAAAAATTTTATGGGAGGTACAGAGACTGGGAAACCTCAAGTCGACGTGTAGGTCGGCACGGGATCTCGCCCTCCAGAGGGGGAAGATCATCGCCAATTCCGTAATTTAACAGCAACTACTTTTACGGGACGAATGCATTTAGTAGTTGTCGTGCTAGGAAACATCTGGAGACCGGTCGGGGTCAACCACCACAGTCGTTCCACGTAAACGCCATTCGGTTTGCCACCCCTAGCAACCATCGACGCAAATTCACGAGAAGGCAGCAGCGTGGGCGCCCGCAAGAGGCGTCCGGAGCGGGGAGAGGGGGAGCTGGCTTCTGGTGCGCTGCGTCGCCGCCCCGCCGAGAGTCGCCTCGGGTATCAGCATCGCTGCACAGTGGTTCGTTTTGACAGTAGGTATTAGGCTTACTTCACACGGAACCACTCCAAAAAGCCGCAGAGCCCTCTACATGCAGCCACTGCCCAACACCATTGACCGCGAGAGAAATTCATGAGTCAAACCAATGAGTGCTCGGGTGGTCAAAAGTCGGTACAGGATCTCGGACTCCAGCGGGAAAGATAATAGCCATCTCCCGTAATTTAACAACAACTACGTTTACGGGACAAATGCACTTAGTAGTTATCGTGCTAGGAAACATCTCAAGACCAGATATGGCTTCACAAAGAACCGCACCAAAAAGCCGCAGAGCCGTGTACATGCAGCTACAGCCCAACACCATTGACCGCGAAAGAGTTTCATGAGTCACGCCGATGTGTGCTCCGGTGGTCAAAAGACAGCCAGCTGATAAAAGAATGGTTAAGTGGCGTGTCCGTGTGGTTTACTGTGAAGCCTGTCATGTGGGACTGTTCTGCTTGTGGTATTACCGACGCGCGTCTGCGCTGTTGGTGGCGAAAGTTGACCACCGAGCACCACAGCACAGCGACTACGCCACTCGTTGTATACCTCCATTTAACCCAATGCTTTGCCAGCAGATGCGTCATAAGGATGCGCTGACGAGGGGTGCCGTGTGAAGGGACGTAAGAGAATTTTATTCATTGTTCAATTGATTGATGATTCCGTGCGTGGTCATTTACTACTGTCGTCCCATTTGTGGAGTCAATAACATATCTCCGAAGGTAGCGAAGTGTATCCCCGGGTCCATGGTGAAATACGGCGCTGACCTGTACGTTAATTGATTGAATAGTGATTTTGGGCGCCTCAACGGCCAAGGTAATTAGTACCGTGAGTATAGTGCCGGATTTCTCTCTATCTCTTTCTCTCGAGGTGTTAGTGGTTTTTCCCTCCCTTGATGGTGAGGTCAGGCGTGGTTGGTGAAATCCGGAGGACCTGCTCTTAAGCTCCTGACTGGCTGCACGACATTTGAGGTAGTGAGTGTAAATATGTAAGGTAAGGATAGAACAAGGAAGAGCTGGGAGACCACTCGATAGCTTAGAACGTGTCCCAGCTGGGGCAGTGACCGGCTGCTGGGTAATGCGTGGTGCAGTAAAAACCCCACAAGACTACAAGTAGGTCGACCACGGATCTCACCACCCACTGGAGAAGATTACCAACGCCTTGCGCTACGAAAACGTACACTACTCTTATGGGACTAATTACCTTTGTAGTTGAATCGCCTGGAACCCCTAATTTATCAAAACCAACGTTGGACACTCGATGTATAAAAAGCACAGTTGCTATACTGTAATACCCTTAGATTCCACGAAGAGTCACACTGTGCAAAGGCTTTGCATCCCACCTCGCACTCACTTTACACTCTGCGTTTGATAATGAGATACTCCACGGATGTCATTATTCCTATTAATTATCTAGGGTACGCGTACGAGCAAGCGAACACATGCGTATGCGAGGTTGCAAACTGACGCAAGGGAATTTGCAACGACGGCGAACAAGATGCAGCTTCAAGGTGTACATTTCACTGCTGCTGAAGAGAAATTGCGATTTTGTAGTTTCTCTTTAAGCCTACACATAGTAGCTGGGTATTTGCGTGTGTCCGTCACTCACGGTTAAATGAGTGAGCCAAGCGGGAAGTAGTTCGGAGTATTGTTGGCTGCTGGTGTTGGTATTGGTCATTTTCTCACCTTATATTCTGTATAAAAATTTCAATTAATACAGATGTAAGTGATTTAAAAATAATATTTCAAGCGTTTGGAACGCCACGCGAACCTGGTTAAGAGTTTCTTTAGTAAAAAACACGTATTTCTAGATAAATTCTAGAATATTGCCTACAGTATCTCTGTTTTATACTTACTGGCATGTTGTCGTTTGAAATAAGTTACTAGGAGAGTTGGTTTTGAACGAGAAGAACTGATAGAGGAATACAAGAAGTGGTATAAAATGTATGATGTGCTTATGAACAAATGCGAAATTTAGGTTGCGAATAATATATTATATAATGATTGAACATGAGCATGAACAAAGAGCTAAAAAAACATTACATTCAGTAAAAGATAAGTATTAAATCTTTTTATAACATTATTTATGGTAGCAGAGCGCGAGGAGAAATGGATAACAGAGGACTAAAGAAAATAGAAATTTTCAACGAAACAAATTTTGAAATATGAAGCTTCCTAATTATTTCATTATTAAAAATTGAACCCTCACAATATGTCTTAACTGAATCCCCTCTAGAACTCAAAAACAAATAATAAGAGGAATATATGAAGCAAAAGTTCAGGTGCGTATTCATACAAAAAGTGACGAATTCATACTAAAAGTTTCTTCAATACTATTTACCGTGTCTATTTACCTTTAATACTATTTACCACGGCAGTCTAGTTTCATGAAATAGTAGAATGTTTTTAGATTAGAAAAGGTCCAAAAATGAAGATAATGAAAAACAAAATCTCACATTTTGTAGCCTTCATGAGGGTATCAATTTGACCCCTTTCATTTTTCAGAGAAAGAAAGACTGAATGAATGAAATCTGTTCTCTTTAACTATTATCTTTATATTATTCAAATCAAACTGAGATATTCTTTGGATTTTTGCAGTAAATCAAAATGAAAAAAAATTAAAATAATCTTAAAATTTATCGAAAAAACAGTCTATATTCACTGATTTCATATAATACTCATTTATTGTGCATTGAGTATTTGTTATCTCACAGTACATTTTGTTTTAACAAATACTAAGTTTGCCAATTAAACTATGAATGAAGACGGTTTTCTCCAATAAATTTTGAATCGTTTCTACTTTCAATTGTATATAAAAATTAAAAGGATACTTTGATATATAAATGAACGAATTGAATGCGTAATAACACATTAGAACGAATAGAATCGTGTTTCGAATATGAATTAAACGAATTCGTTCTTTAGAACTTTTGTTTTCATAAATAATGATATTTGGTGAAATGTACTATTAAAATTATGCATTTATATAACTGCAGAGTAACTAATACTTATAGCGTATTTTATAAAAAAACGTGATGCGCAAAATAATGACAACAAACAATAAAAACTTCAAGGTGAGATCAAGTACATGTTAACCTGAATATCTACTATACTGTATTATTTCTATGCAAAAACATTGAATACAATAAAGTACTTCCAAAATTAATATTCAAGAGGCGGTTCAATGCTTTAGCTTGATTTGTTGCTCTACAAATTTGTATTCCTCATA